AAAAAAAAATAATGTACTATAGCTACATTAAAAGTTTACATATTAACTATACCTAGGTAGTAGGTATTGATATTCTATAGACACTACTAGGTCTATTTAATTTCCAGTCTTATTATTAAAATGAAAGTTCATCCTAACCAATTCGTATGTTACCTGCAGAATACTTCGGTACCAATCAAACATCAGTAATTGGGAACCAATTAGTAGACGTCTATTATAGAACTAATTGAATATAATATGCACGTATGACAAATATTTATGTTGTATAAAAATTTCCATTTTCTTTTTTTATTGTTTTGATTTTTCTATATAACCCAAACATCCTAAACTAAACATTCATAACCTCACAGTATTGTATTCGGCTTATTATACGTAACATATTGTAATATAAAAAGTACCTACTTAATACCTAGTTATTATACTCGTTTGAGATGCATATCGTTCAACGTTAATAATTGACATGCAGCTGTGCAGGCAATAAATTGGTGACCGCATCCGTAATTTTCCTTGTGTTTTACCTGCAGGTATTATCATATATATCGTATTTTGAAAATTATAATCAGGAGAGAGTTCGTTGGATTTTCTCTGCAAAAGACAATGAAAATGTAAAATTTCATGCAGATGCAATAAAAAAATTGTAAGTCATAATACCATGTATTAATCTATATAAAAACTAATTTACACGCATTGATCTTTGTCATTGCAGGGGAAATTTCACATTCACCGATATTACATATTATATACATATATATATATAAATATTCACTGTATATAAAATATATTTATTATGAGTTCCCGTAATAATAGATCATAATAGGACGTACAAATAAAAAAAATTAACGGTTTCACTGTTGTTGTCTATATAATATATATATATTTAAACACAGTAGGTAGCGTTACACTTTCATTATAGGTATATATTTTGCAGGACCGGATCATTGACCGCAGGTTATAGACATAATCAAAAGAACAGAATATAAAACGTGTACCTACAAAAAACGTTTAAGTAGGTAGCTGGTAGGTATAACTGACACATATTGCGGTACAATTGTAGTAGTCTATACGTGTATAATGTAGTACAATATATATTATATATACCTATTCAACCTAAAAATTTGAAAGTGAATTTCGAGTAAAAGTTGTTTACTATACAATAAAGTATGAAAACGTGAAAGCTCAAGTCTATTATAGTATATCGTTTCCTTTTAGTTCAAAGGAAATAATTTTACCCAAAAATCAGACGTCTATGTAGCAGTCACGTTAAGTGTACCTAACTTAAAACAAATATTTATTCCATATTCTAAATGAAGGAAATTTTCAAGGTAGGTATACAATAAATAATAATAAATTCGAATTTGGTTATTTTTTCATAACTTGTTTAATCACATATGACCTTGAGAGTTGATGCATAATTAATTATCACTTGTGCGTCCTCTTAAGACTCAATTAGTTGGGACTTGGTATTGTGTCTACATATAACATACCTATATATACACGAATATAAGTATATACATAAACGTACTACGCACAAAGTTTAGCCGAAGGTCAACCACTATACAATATAATAATGGGTACAAAATATAATATAATAATAATATAAATGTGCATGTAATCAAAACATCATCGTTAGGTACACTATAATACACRCAATACGAACCATCCAACGAGATAATTAAATGATGATATTGTAATTTAGAAACAAATGGTTCAGCCGTGAATATGCATGAAACATATTATAAAAACAACCAATGAGCTGTTTTAAATTTAAATTTTAAGACGTTTAAATGGATACCTATTCGATAAAAAGAAAATGTGCACATAGAATAAAACATTCTATATAAATCATCTATGTATATCATAAATAATTATGTATTTTATTGTCCAATTAATATAATATTATTTGTATTGTTTTTTGTAGCAACTTACACTGATCCATGCAAAAGAAATGATAAGGACTTCAGTGGTTGTCTGAAGAAAACTCTTCAATACTTGATCCCAAAATTCAGCAAAGGTTAATATTATTATATTTATATAACTAAAATGGTTTAAAAATTAATAAATTTATTGGCGTTATAATTTTTAGAGGGAATTCCACAGTTGAACATCACATCCTTGGACCCATTCTATTTGAATGAATATCTTATGCATTTTGAGTCTACTCAAATCGAAGGAAAATGTCTATTCAAAGATGTTTATGACCATGGTTTAGGATCTATAAAAATCGTCGATGTCAGGTAGTTAGAATTAAAATAAATAATAAATCGTAGTAATATAACGTTAAATATTTAATACTTTAAAAGCTGACGATTTAGCGAATAAATAAAATACGTTTTGTTTTCATACGTTGTAAATTGATTGAAAATATCGTTTTTTTAGATCTGTCGTGGAAGACCCAGAACAACTAGAATTGGAAGTTGACTTTTACATGCCAAAAGTTATATCAAACGGCAAATTCAAGGGTGAAGGAAGAATTGGGCAGATGCCAATCATGGGCAAAGGCGTATTCAACGTGACGTGTTGTAAGTACAAAATTACTAAAAAAACAAATCAATGAAATCCGATTAAATAATATAAAAAACATTGAATTATTCCATTTTTGTGCGTAGATGATGTGACCGGTTCATGGATGTTGAAAGGCAATGCTGTTGAAGTGGACGGACAACGTTACATGCGTATCAAGGACGTTGGCATGAAATTAGACATTGGAGATATGAAAATATACGCGACCAACATGATTAATGGGAGTCCCGAATTAAGTGAGTACTATATGCCATAAAGACGATTAAATATCTCGAAGAGAAAGCCAACCATAATATATAATACGTGGTGTTATTATCAATATTCTAGGCCAAATGGCGTTAACCTTCGCTAACCAATTTTGGCGAGTTATATTCCAAATCGTGATGCCGTACGCCGAAGAAGGTTTCGAGAAGATCACGAGACCCATTCTCAACCAAGTGTTCCTAGAGGTTCCTTATGACCAGCTATTCCCACCCAGCCGCAAATAAACCCTCCCAACAAAATCTTATTACCTACTCATTGACTTAAGTTTTTCTCTGTGTTGTAGGACCATAGTATTTTCTTACTATATATATTTTTAGGTGTAAGAAGTTTTTATTTTRWATAATATTATAAAACGCATCACCTAAAACTGGAATTTACAACTAGTAGGATATCCGACGAATGTTATTTATTATTAAGATTAATATTATGTTTTGTTTTAAGTGACGTAAATAATTAATTTAATAACTATGTACCTTTTGTTATATTATAAGTAAACTACGTTAAAACACATTTGCTGAATTTTTTTCCGTTTATTTACCAACATAATTACTCTAAACCCTATATATRTGTGTTGTGTATTCAGTATTGTATAATTTACTATAATTTAAACGATTTAACTTTGAATTAGTGTAATACAGGCAATTTATCACACACCGATACGATAACGTTAAGATACATTTAAGTGCGCAATACCACGAACATAATTTGTTATTTACTTGTTACTTGGTCTATACTCGTGAGTACATTACTTGGTACCATTAATGTTTTAATTTGACATGGGATTATGGGAATAATGTGATGTGTTCCTAAATCTCAATTAAAATGAAATTGACTTATGAATTATCATTAAAGTTTAATCACAACGTATTTTATTTTTTTAGTCTAAATACTCTAAATTTTGTGTTTCATTSTATAAACTTATATTATGTTGGTGTGTTACTTTTGAAAATGTATATAATATCTGCAAGGGGATTATTCCATTGTTGAATAAAACATTTGAACAATATTCCCTGCCGTAGTCTTATTTATATTGTATTATATAGTTACATAAAATGTAATAGGCATATTCGTCATAAATATACAGTAAGAAGGTAATATAGGCATTACGTATATATATAGTATATASATTATACATATACCTATACCTGCTATATAGTCACATAGTGTATCATTTTAAATAATGTTTTATTCACAACACTTTATAATATATTAATTAATCAATGATGTATGATTGAGATTCATAGTCGCAGACGAGTACATGCGATAAATTTCTAATCAAACTTATAATTTATAAGTTATAGGCACAAATCACAATAACTAATATTAAGCTTTATGTCACGAATATGTGTCACCTATATCATAATAATAATTGGTAATAACTCACAATGTTGCATGAACGTGTATTATGCATAATACCTATACACGTATAGGTTCTTATGTTATTTTCATAATCCCTAATGAATGTATTCATATTTACAAATATGCGATAATTATTGTTTTATATAATCTAATTTGACACACAGTTTTCAATTATTACCTTGAATAGATTATGTATTTTAATTTATACTTTGGAAATATGAGTACTAAAATAATGTTTTATTTTAAAACAAACAAATTATCAAAGTCGTAAGTGAAGTGCAAAGGTCGAGGAGAACAAAAATGAATTCTRGATTTTCGTGATTTGGTAGATAGGAGTAAAAACGTTTTTTAAAAACTCGCATTGTATGCCATATTATATTTATGCTATATCTACCTGCACTTGGATTACGTTATATGTAATCTACCTTTTTTTTGGGATACCTATTGACTCTCGTTAAGAATTGGCTGCAAATGTTTTGACCCAAAATCAACCTTTTGTACATCGTAATCTCACCGATAAATCAGATAAGTTATAACCGATTGTGCGAATGATGTATGGATACAATTCGAGATAAAATTATACATATACCACAGTCGTGCTAACATAACAGACAAATTGTAAGTGAAGTATAATCGAGTTACARTTTATTTGAATAAACTTTACATAAAACTTAAAATAGCCGTATTTTTAGTATGTAAAAGAGGAAAAAAATGATTRCTTTAAAGAACTACAAGTATAACTTAAGTTCGGAAAATATTACAATTGGTTCAATTCATTGACGCACTATTAAACGTAATTGTTCAACAAAGATATATTTAGATTGATGAAATAGTAACGAGTGCACTATAGATTCCATTCAATACGATCACGAACCATCAAATGCAGATGAAATTAATGGACAAATCGTAACTAACACCTGTAAACGTAGAGCTAAAGGTGATATACCTACATACTTATCTAAAAAAAAAAAGCGGGTAAGTCGTGGATGTCGCTCTGCTGTACAGTAGGTTACTGTAATGGATGGGATTAAATTTGAATGCAATGATAGGTATCATTGTATA